TTTATCCATATTTGGGCAGTGTGACCTAGTTTTTGACCCCAGGTGACCCATATTCGAATTTCACCTAGAAATCATCAAAAAAACCTTACAGACCAATTTCCAGGATATTTGCATAACTACTAGCCACTAGAGAGTTCACAATATTTTTCTATTTTTAGCTCCTGTGACCTAGTTTTACAATAAAGATATTTACCCATGTTCAAACTCCTCCAACAGACTTCCCGAAAGTTGAAAAAAACTGTCAGACATTCGGTCTGACAAACCATGAAAATCTGTCGGACCGAAACGAAATCTGTCGGACCAAATAAAATTGATCAAAATCAAAGAATAACGTGTGTTTGTATTTTTAAGACACTTTTTGTTTTCTGATTTTTTCGCCGTAATAATCGGCACATTTCTTACAGCGCATTTTCATCTCCTCCCTATCATACACCAACGATTCACTGTCTTGCTTCTAATTTTCATTAAATTTTGTCTCAGGTCTATTCTTTTTATCCTTTTTCTACTGTTTGGCACCTTTAGCGCCGCCATTTTGTATACATGCGGCTTGGATAAAAGCCGGACAGTCGGACCGATCCGGAATAAAAACTCGCCGGACCTGATCAAAATTTATCGGACATGTCCGTCGGACCGACGTATTTCGGGAAGTCTGCTCCAAGCAATTACATAAGCATCCTGACCAAGTTTGATGACAATTGAACAAGAGCCATGTTAACATGGCCATCCCCCTACATATGTGTTTGCTCATTGGAAGAATGTATATGTAGTAGAGCAGAATAATTCAATTTTAAGAGGTCTTTTGGTAATGAAAACTGATGTCTGAAGTGATTACAGATTTGAAACCTATGTGAATACTGATGGATGAAAATAACAAAGGGCAATTACTGATAAATAATGCAGGATAGGTTAACATTCTTGTGTGCTGCACTCCTCCTCAATGAGATCTATCCACCTATGAAGTTTCAAGTTGATACCTCAAATACTTTTTGAGATATGCTCTGGACAAAAATGTCGGACGAAAGGACGGATGTACTTACCAAATGGTACTTTTGTGACTTTTCCTTTGATCTTTTTAGCCATTTTAGTCACACAAGGCTTAAAACAAGATTGCATTTGAGAACAAGAGCTGTCACAGGAGACAGCCAAGCTCGACTAATAAAATACTGAACGCAGTAAGGAGGACAAAATTATGAAAGAAAAACCAATTATGTATAATTATGTATTAAGTTATAATAAAAAAATATCATTTGTTAACATAAATTCCAAGATCAAGGGGAATAATTCTAGAAAAAGTCATGCTAGAGTTATGAACCTTTCACACAACATGTGTGTAATGATAAGAAATATATATTTGAAGTTTGAAGTAGATACCTTAAAAAGTAAAAGTTATAATATTACTTAAAGAAAATCCTAAGTTCAAAGAAAGATAAATCTGTAAATATTGCGTCAAGAGTTATGAACATTGTCACATAAAATGTAATTGATGATAAGGAATAAGTATTTGAAGTTTGAGGTAGATGCCTTTAAAAATAAACAAGAGCCCGGTTTGAGCCGGGTGATGCTCCCCGAATAGGTTTTGGACACAGGAAAGTACACCTCTTGTAGTTTCAGAGTTATGTCCGTGGAAAAAGTTCAAAGTGCAATAATTCTAAAATTAGGCAAGGCAGAGTTACAGTTCTTTGCACTGCACTTCTAATCAATGTGATCTATCAACCTACAAAGTTTCTTGATGATATCTCTTCTGATTTCCGAGTTATGTCCTGGACAATTCAAAAAGTAAAAATAAACAAAGGGCAATAACTCCAGAATTAGGCAAGGTAGAGTTATGATTCTTGTGCACTGCACATCTACCCATTGAGATTTATCTACCTACAAAGTTTCATGTTGATATCTCTTATAGTTTTACAACTATGTCCTGGATAAGATTTTTCTAAAAGGGGAGATTATTCAAAAATAAGGCTTAACAGAGTTATGGTTCTTTTGCACTGCACCTCTACTCAATGAGATCTATCTACCTACAATGTTTCATGTTGATATCTCTTATAGTTTTAGAGTTATGCCCCGGACAAGATTTTTCTATAAGGGAGATAATTCAAAAACCAGGCAAAATAGAGTTATGGTTCTTTGACACTGCACTCCCCCTTGATGCCCTCTACCACTGTATGAAGTTTCAACAAATTATCTCCAAGGGTTTTCAAGTTATGTTCCGGACAAAGTTCAAGTTCAAAGTATTAAAATAAACAAAGGGCAATAACTCCAAAATTAGGACAAAAAGAGTTATTGTTCTTATGCACTGCACATCTACGCATTGAGATCTATTCACCTACAAAGTTTCATGTTGATATCTCTTATAGTTTTAGAGTTATGCCCCGGACAAGATTTTTCTATAAGGGGAGATAATTCAAAAACCAGGCAAAATAGAGTTATGGTTCTTTGACACTGCACCCCCCCTCAATGCCCTCTACCACTGTATGAAGTTTTCAACAAATTATCTCCAAGGGTTTTCAAGTTATGTTCCGGACAAAGTTCAAAGTATTAAAATTAACAAAGGGCAATAACTCCAAAATTAGGATGAAAAGAGTTATTGTTCTTATGCACTGCACATCTACCCATTGAGATCTATTCACCTACAAAGTTTCATGTTGATATCTCTTATAGTTTTGGAGTTATGCCCCGGACAAGATTTTTCTATAAGGGGAGATAATTCAAAAACCGGGCAAAATAGAGTTATGGTTCTTTGACACTGCACTCCCCCTCGATGCCCTCTACCACTGTATGAAGTTTCAACAAATTATCTCCAAGGGTTTTCAAGTTATGCTCCGGACAAGACAACGGACGGACAGACGGACGGACGGACAGACGGACGGACGGACAGACGGACAAGGCGCCGACTATATGCTCCCCCGAAATTTTTCGGGGAGCATAAAAAGTTATAGTAAAAAATAACATTTTGCTAGTAAAAAAATCTATGTTTATGGGGATATAATTCTTGCAATATTAGTGCTAGAGTTATGAACCTTGCCACATAAGATGTGGATGATGATAAGTTACATATATTTGAAGTATGAAGTTGATCCCTTTAGAAATAAATAAGTAACAGTAAAAAATAGTATTTTTTAAGGAAAATTCTAAGTTCAAGGGGAGATAAATCTGAAAATATTGGTGCTAGAGTTATGAACCTTGTCACATATGATGGGGATGATGATAAGGTACATATATTTGAAGTATGAGGTTGATCCCTTAAGAAATAAAGAAGTAACAGTAAAAAAAAATATTTTTTGAGGAAAATTCTAAGTTCAAGGGGAGATAAATCTGAAAATATTGGTGCTAGAGTTATGACCCTTGTCTCATAAGATGTGGTTGATGATAAGGAACATATATTTGAAGTTTGAAGTTGATACTTTAAGAAATGACAAAGTTATAGTGAAAAATATTTTACTGCACCAAAACTTTAATCTGAAATCTGGACGCGGACGTGGACGCCGACGCCGGGGCGAGTAGGACAGCTCTCCATATACTTTGTATAGTCGAGCTAAAAATGCTATGCCACCGCATTAATACAACACTAAATAGTAGTGTAGGAACAGATTTTTTTGTTTCTATACAATTGAAGATTGTCATAATGCATAGATCCCTGACCTATCTAATTCTTATTATCAGATTAGTGGTTAAATCTATTGTTAATCCAATAAAAGATCAGAGTAGGTATATATCAATGCACTTGAGTCTAGTGAATTTGGTGGTAAAGGTCATATTTCACACAGCCTAAATTTCATGACTACATCAAAGGACAAAACAGTAAGACACTTTGTCAAAATCTAGGTCAGCTGATATCAAAGTTCACTTACATCTTAATCTGTGCACATGGTTCAAATTTCATAGCTGTACATCAAAGGACAAGAAAGTAGGTCACATCATCAAGATCTAGGTCACCTGATATCAAAGTTCAATTTTACAACTAAAACTGTGCACATGGTCAAAATTTCATTGCTGTACATCAAGGGACATGAAAGTAGGTCACTGTCCCCTTGGGCAAGGAAAAATTGTGACCCAAGGGTTTAATTCAAAACAATCTTGATACAGGTCCACCAAACAACATTTCATGTCAAATATCTAAGCTGAAGCTTTCTCCTTTTTAGAAAACATTTGTTTTATTTTTTTTTTTACTATGTGTACATAATGAGAATCACTGCCCCCAGGCAGGGCCAATTTTGAAACCAGGGGAAAAATTTGAACAACTTTGGTAGAGGACCCATAGATGATATTATATAATATAGCAAACATCACAGCTCTATGCCTTGTACCTTCAGACAAAAATATTTTTTTTATTTTTTTACTATATGTACATAATGAAAATCAATGACCCCAGGGGCGGTACCAATTTTGACCCCAGTGCAATAATTTGAATTTCACTTCGCAAAGTCTCATGCCATATATTTAACCTCTAGCCAAATATCAAAGCTCTAAGCCATGTACCTTCAGACAAGAAGATTTTTTTTTTTTATAATATGTACATAGTGAAAATCAATGACCACTCGGGATGGGGCCAATTTTGACCCCAGGGCTATTATTTGTACAATCTTGTTAGAGGTTCACTACACAATGTTTCATGCAAAATATCTTAACTCTAGCCTTTGTAAATTTAGAGAAGATGATTTTATTAAGTTTTTACTATGTACATATAAGGAAAACCTATGGCCCCCGGGGCGGGGCTAATTTGACACTAGAGGCAAAATTTTAACAAATTTGGTAGAAAACCTATAGATGATATCATTTTACAAATATTAAAGCTCTAAGCCTTGTACCTTCAGACAATAAGATTTTTTACTATATGTATATATTGAAAATCAATGACCCCCGGGGACGGGGGCAATTTTGACCCTAGGGCTATAATTTGAACAATCTTGCTAGAGGTTCACTTCACAATATTTGATGCAAAATATCTAACCTCTAGCATTTGTCAATTGCTAGAAGAAATTTTTTTTAAAGTTTTTACTATAAGTTTTTACTATATACATATAAGGAAAACCAATGACCCCCGGGGCGGGGCCGATTTTGACCCCAGGGCTATAATTTGAACAATCTGGGTAGAGGTCTACCAGACAATGCCTTATGCAAAATATCTAAGCTCTAGGCCTTTTGGGTCTTTACAAGAAGGTATTTTAAGTTTTTACTATATGTACATATAGTGAAAATCAATGACCCCCGGGGCGAGGTCGATTTTGACCCCAGGGCTATAATTTGAACAATCGTGGTAAGGGTCTACCAGACAATGCCTTATGCAAAATATCTAAGCTCTAGGACTTTTGGGTCTTTACAAGAAGGTATTTTAAGTTTTTACTATATGTACATATAGTGAAAATCAATGACCCCTGGGGCGGGGCCGATTTTTACCCCAGGGATGTAATTTGAACAATCTTGGTAGAGGTCTACCAGACAATGCCTTATGCAAAATATCCAAGCTCTAGGCCTTTTTGGTCTTTACAAGAAGATTTTTTAAATTTATTCTTATAATTCACTTTGGTTGCCATGGCAACCAGATTTATGCATGGAATGAAATTCTTTGAACAACTTTGGAAGCCCTTCACCCAAGGATCAATCCTGCCAAGTTTGGTTGAAATTGGACTGGTGGTTTTTCACAAGAAGATTTTTTAAGTTCACTATATAATCTTTATAACACACAAACACACAGGTGAATCGCTATATGCCACCGCATCGCAGATGCTGCGGTGGCATAAAAACTCAATCACATTACTTGCTAGAGTTTCATCTACAGCAGAGTCACAAATTTCTTGAGGTTTAAACTTTTTAGACATTTGTGCAAATCTAGAATTCTTGTTGTCATTGCACTTTAGCTTACTGCTTGAAGTATCACATGTTACATCATAATATTCTTCTGGTTCACCAGAGTATGAATCAAAACGCTCATCTTCATACTGAAAGCCTTTATTCATAACCCTATCAACATCATCCATTCTATCAACTAGTTTATTCAGTTTTTCATCTTGTTTTTTTATCATTAAAAATGTTTTTTTAATAAATGACAGTGTCATTAAAATTTGCACTAGTTTTCGCGACGGGTTCGACTGATCGCTTTTCCTTCGTTTTTTCTGCTGGAGATTTTCCTTTTATGCTAGATCTTTCCAGCTTCATTATTAATCATATTCAATTTGTCGCTATCTGCTTTCTCTGCCATGACTAGCGTCATTTCCTGTATACATAACATAGTGTAAGATATTACTACGTACGCAACACAATTTTATGTCAAAATCAATCCTTTACGCGTAAAGGTAAAACTCAAAATCCTGTTCAGATTGGCAAACAATGTTTGGTGAACACAAAAAACACAAAGAATAATTATGTTTCTAATCTACGATTAGACCAGATTTTAAATGCTAATAAAAATTTCAATGCCTGTCCTTCGACAGGGCAGAAGCACACTGATGCGCATAAGCATACTGAAAATAGAATTTGAACAATCTTGATAGAGTTCTACTACACATTGCTTCATGCCAAATATCTAAGCCATTGTCAACTCAGAGAAGATTTTTCAAGTTAAGTTTTTGTTTGACACTAGGGGCAAAATTTAAACAACTTTTGTTGAGCTACAGATGATATGGTATACCAAATATTAAAGCTCTGGACCTTGTACTTTCAGGCAAGAAGATTTAAATTTGCATTCATGAAACTCCATTTCTGACCCCATGACCTACTTATGCGACAGAGCGGAACCATTTGAACAACTTTGAAAGAGGACCATCAAACGATCTTTCCGATCAAGTTTGGTTACTGTGCAGTCATTAGATTCAGAGGAGATGTTGTTTAAAGTAATTGTTGACGACACACGACGGTAGTTGGGGGATCACAACAGCTCACCATGAGCACATTGTGCTTAGGTGAGCTAAAAATCTAAATATAAAAAATAACCTGTTGAAAGAAAACAGTTTGTCCCATCCACCAACACAAAATTGCGAGGTATTTTGCTGGCAGTTTAATTTTCTTCACAACAAATCTCCATAAAAGTGCTTCTTGAACAATGACCATGGCAACAAGCAATGTATTATGGGTCCTCAGCACCAAAGTTATTAATAACGTCCATGACATTTGAAAAGTCTGCACTGATTTCACTGACATCTCTTTACATTTTTCTGGGAGTATATGAACTTTTTCTTTTGAGAAATGAAGCCATTTGATCACCGCTATGAGATTCATCAGTAAAACAACAAAGAAAACTAGTCTTGCTTCCCAAATCCCCTTTGACCTGAAAAAATATGCACAAACAAAACCAAAATAATAAGATTTTTTATCTATTACACAAACTTTTCTATCTCCAACATTTTGAGGGGTTAAACCCCTCTTTTTCAAGGAGTTTCTATTTATTTATCTTCTTACATGCCTTATCTTACACTATGTTATGTACACAGAAAATGATGTCATTGACATCAACAATAAACAAGAACTGTCGGAGGACAGTAACGCTTGACTATTCGAAAAAGTTGTCACAAGTGTGTTTCATTGAGTATACTAATGCTTACCTATATTAAAATTGTTCAATAGAATTTCTTTAAACTTGGCATGTTGTTAGAATATGATAACAGAAACATTTTAAGCGGAAAAAAAATTGGGGTCACCGTTTTTGTTTTTGAATTATCTGCCCTTGAATTGGATTTTTATTGTTAAATTCAAGGGCAGATAATTTACAATGAAGGGAAACAATACAATTTTTTTTCTTCTTTTCATGAAGCTTACCTTCGTTTTAGTTGATATGCAAAATTTCAAGAACAAATTTAGAGTGGGTAGTTTTATTCCCACTTCTTCTTTTAACCTGTGCATTTTTTCTTAAAAAATGGCCTATTTTTTAAGAATTTAAAGTACCTTTATTTTCATTTAGATAAGTTCCGGACAAAAATGCATGAAAAATAACAAAGGGCAATAACTCAAAAATTATGAAGGGTACATTTATTATTCTTATGCACTGCACACCTCCTGAGTGAGATCTATCCACCTATGAAGTTTCATGTTGATATATCATAAGCTTTTTGAGTTATGCTCTGGACAAAAATTAAGTTTGAAAAATAACAAAGGGCAACAACTGAAAAACTATGCAGAGTAAAGTTATCATTCTTGTGCAATGCACTCCTCCTCAATATGATCTATCCACCTATGATGTTTCAAGTTGATATCTCAAATAGTTTTTGAGACACCAGCTTGCAAGCAAAAACTTAACCAAGAATTTCCAAGTCAAAAAAGGGGCATAATTATGGAAAAAAGAAAATCAGAGTTATGGGACTTGTGCAAATCATGTCAGATAATCACAGAGAACAAGTGTGTGAAGTTTCAATCCATTCCCTTCAGTAGTTATGGAGATACCAGCTTGCACGCAAAAACATAACCAAGAATTTTTCAGTCGAAAAAGGGGCATAATTATGCAAAAAAGCAAATCAGAGTTATGGGACTTGTGCCAATCATGTTAGATAATCACAGAGAAGTGTGTGAAGTTGCAATCCATTCCCTTCAATAGTTATGGAGATACCTGCTTACACGCAAAAACTTAACCACAGGGACGCAGACAAATGGGTGACTGCATTAGCTCGATTATTCTACGAATAGTGGAGCTAAAAATACGCAAAACATGACGATGACGTTTTCCATCAAAATTGTTCCACTGCATAACGTTGTTCCCCTTTAATTAGGCAGGTGTTCTTTGAACTTGTTTATAATAAAAAATAATTAGAGATCTATACGTTTTCAAGAAAAAACAACTTACAAACATGAATTTGTAATTTTATTTAGTCGCACTTGATGTCGGATTAAAAAAGAGATGATGACAACATGCCCATGTGATATTCGTCACTTATTATACTTTCATTTCTGCTGACATCATTTTCTTGTAAAAAAACCAAACAAACATACAGAAAACATGTAGACTGTAAAATATTTAGAAGAGGAAACTATAGTTAATCCTTGCTGGGAACATTGTGGTTTTTGGAGAACCAAAAGAAAGCGTTGTATAATGTGAAAAACCGGACATGGAGTCTTTAAACTCAAAATAAAATACTCTGGGGTTAAGCACACATCTTTAGAAAATTGAGAGTGAAACTGATAAACTGTTATTTTCACAGTTGTTGACCTAATTGTAAATCACTTTTTGCTATATTTTTTTCACAAGAAAAATCTTTAGTGGTGTTTTGTAAAACTGAAATTGTTAAACTGTCACATTTACAGTAGTGGACTTAAGTGTTAGAATAGCAGATATCAATTTGCTGTTATTTTATAATTAAATAAATACCTTTTAATCCTTAAGTAATCAGAAAAGTAAATTGTTCATAGATCAAAATCAGAAACTAAGTTATAACAGCAAGTTAAAGAGTTTACTGTTTTGTTATTGTAATAGTTTTATATTATATTCATAATTATGCTGTAAACAAATGACCAAATTTTTATATACCAAGTCTGAAAGTCAGTATCATATTTATATCGCATCGTAAGATAAGAATCGCAATATGCATTGCATTTCTTCAAAGTATGTAATACATATCGTCAATCGCATTGTTTAGAACAACAATTATCGTGATGTGTCGTTATAGAAAAAATGGCAATGCAGAGCCCTACAAACTTGTGGACCAATTTCCAGGATATTTGGGTAACAACAGTAGGAACTACAGAATTAACAAGATTTTTCTATCTTTAGCTCCTGTGGCCTAGTTTTTCATCAGAGATGACCCATGTTCGAAGTCATCCGAGCAATTACCTAGACAAGCATCCTGACCAAGGTTTTTGATGATGATTGAGGCGAAAATGTGACCACTAGAGTGTTAACAAGGTTATTCCATATTTCGAAGGTGTGACCTAGTTTTAGATCCCAGGTGATCCATATTCGAACTTGACCTAGAAATCATCAAAACAAACTTGCAGACCTAATTTCCAGGATATTTGAAACAAAACAGTAGCCACTGGAGTGTAAACAAGATTTTTCTATTTTTTAGCTCCTGTGACATAGTTTTTCATCAGAGATGACCCATTTTGAAGTTCATCCTTACAAAGTTTGATGATGACTGAGGCAACTAGAACTGAACTGCCACTGTCAGAATCAACAGTGGCCATTTAGAGCTCAAGGACAACCTCCCTGCCAAATCTTAGGTTACTAAACCAGTGCATTGCTAAGTTATGTATTCTACATGCTTCAAATGTGAAAATGTCAAAACCACTACACTGCGAACAGGCAGTCTTAAGCATTTTAGCAGACAAGCTTATTATAGTAAAAATCCCTGTGACCTTGACTTTTGACACAGTCACCTTAAAAATCAATAGGGGTCATTTACTAGTCATAAACAACCTCAATACTAAATATGAAGACTGTTGACCAAAGCATTCTTAAGAAATTGAATGGACAAGCTTTTTTAGTCAATGTCCCTGTGACCTTGACCTTTGACCTAGTGACTCCAAAATCAATAGGGGTCACCTTATGGTCATGACCATCCTCCATGCCAAATATGAAGACTGTGGGTCTAAGGTTTCTTAAGTTATTTGGCAGACAAACTTTTTGAAGTCAAGCTCCCTGTGACCTAGACCTTCGACTCAGTGACCTCAAAATCAATAGGGGTCATCAACCTATCAGGACTAAACCTCCATGCCAAATATGAAGACTGCAGGTCAAAGAAATCTTAAGTTATTTGGCAACAAGCTTTTTTAGTCAAGGCTTCTGTGACCTTGACCTTTGACCCAGTAAACCCCAAAATCAATAGGGGTCATCTACTAATCATTGCTAACCTCCATGCCAAATATTAAGACTGTGGGTCAAAGGAATCTTAAGTTATTGGGCGACAAGCCTTTTTTTACTCAAGGCCCCTATGACCTTAATCTTTGACACAGTGACCTCAAAATCAATAGGGGTCATCAAATGGTCATGGCCAATCTCCATGCCTAATCTGAAGACTGTGGGTAAAAGGAATCTTAAGTTAATGGGAGGACAAGCTTTTTTAAGTCAAGGCCCCTCAAAATCAATAGGGGTCATCTACTAATGAAGACCAATCTCAATATAAAATGTGAAGACTGTAGGTCAAAGAAATATTAAGTTATTGGTTGACAGGCCAACGAGTTGTATAAAACAAGAAATGCTATGCCACCGCATTAATACAACACTAAATAGTAGTGTAGAAACAGAATTTCTTTTCTATGCGATTGAAGATTGCCATAATGCATAGATCCCTGACCTTTCTAATTCTTATTATCAGATTTGTTATTCAATAAAAGATCAGAGTAGGAATCTATCAATGCAGTTGAGTCTAGTGAATTTGGTGGTGAAGGTCATATTTCACATGGCTAAATTTCATGACTGTACATCAAAAGGACAACACAGTAAGACACTTTGTCAAAATCTAGGTCAGCTGATATCAAAGTTCACTTTATATCTTAATCTTTGCACATGGTTCAAATTTCATAGCTGTACATCAAAGGACAAAAAGTAAGTCACATCATCAAAATCTAGGTCACCTGATATCAAAGTTCAATTTTAAAACTAAAACTGTGCACATGGTCCAAATTTCATGGCTGTACATCAAAGGAAAAGAAGGTAGGTCATTGTCCCCTTAGGCAAGGCAAAATTTTGACCCAAGTGTTTAATTCAAACAATCTTGATAAAGGTCCACCAAACAACGTTCCTTGTCAAATATCTAAGCTATAGCTTTCTCTAATTCAAAAAACATTTGTTTTGGTTTCTGTTTTTACTATGTGTACATAATGATTTTTAAAATTTATTCTTATAATACCTTTTGGTTGCCATGGCAACCAGATTGCTGCATGGAATGAAATTCTTTGAACAACTTTGGAAGCCCTTCACCCAAGGATCAATCCTGACAAATTTGGTTGAAATTAGACAAGTGGTTTTTCACATGAAGATTTTTTAAGTTCACTATATAATCTTTATAACACACATACAAACACACACATGCACGCACGCACGCAAGCACACACACACACACACACAGGGGTGAATTGCTATATGCAATCGCATCGCAGATGCTGCGGTGGCATAATTACTGTCCGCTAAGTATATAATCTCTTTGTAAGGATGCACTTATTGTTAATTCTAACAAGACCCGCATTTTTCCCCATTGAACATAAAAGAACCGAAAGTGTGTGTTATTATGCAATAAAATCACAATTTGACGGTCAATATTTAGACATGTGACGTAATCATAATACATGTGGCGTAACCACTAAAAATGTGACACGCTAAAAATAAGTATGGAAACAAATCCCGCGCAATTTCGGTTAATATCAGGTACGGCAGCATTTATCTCTTAATATCGTGTAATATCGAAATAATATATCCAAATTGGTGATTTTATCGCTTGATAAAATCACTGTTTGTTGTTCCGATGCACATCAATATATCACTCGCCGCCCTCGTGATATAATTCCTCACATCCGAACTCCAAACAGTGATTTCATTGAGCGATTGGGATATATTATTTCTTAATTATGTCAATTTATGAATAAAGATATTTTTCACATGTCATTTCACGCTGATAAAAAGATGAATACTTTTCCATTGTTGCCAATATTTATTTCTTTGCATGCAAGTATTAATCATAATACCATTATGCTGTGACAACGATAAACAAATGCAAATGTGTACATGCAAATGTTATGTTCCGTCAAACTGCACTGACAGCTTACAGCAAATGGATCTAACTGTCAAGAATGCTGTAATCATCAAAACAACCTTTCTGACAAATTTCCAGAATATTTGGATCAAAACTACAGCCACTAGAGTGTTAACAAGCTTTTTTCTATTTTTAACTCCTGTGACCTGGTTTTTGACCGGAGATGACCCATATTCAAACTTTGCCTAGAAATCATCAAAACAACCTTCCTGACATATATCCAGAATATTTGGATCAAAAACTGCAGCCAGTAGACTGTTAACAAGATTTTTCTATTTTTAACTCCTGTGACCTAGTTTTTGACACCAGATGACCCATCTTCTAACTTGACCTAACAAGAGCTGTCTGTAGGACAGCAACGCTCAACTATTCTTAGTGCTTGATAGTTAAAAAAAGAAAATGCTTGATACAGTTACCTCCTCCTGTTTACAGGTTGGGGTCATGATGGTGAACAAGTGTGCAAAGTTTCAAAGCCATATGTCAATGGACTTTGAAAATATTTGAGGTATTACAAAAACTTTAACATAAATTCTAAGTCGAAAAAGGGGCATAATTCTGTCAAAATGCTTGATACAGTTACCTCCTCCTGTTTACAGGTTGGGGTCATGATGGTGAACAAGTGTGCAAAGTTTCAAAGCCATATGTCAATGGACTTTGAAAATATTTGAGGTATTACAAAAACTTTAACATAAATTCTAAGTCGAAAAAGGGGCATAATTCTGTCAAAATGCTTGATACAGTTACCTCCTCCTGTTTACAGGTTGGGGTCATGATGGTGAACAAGTGTGCAAAGTTTCAAAGCCATATGTCAATGGACTTTGAAAATATTTGAGGTATTACAAAAACTTTAACATAAATTCTAAGTCGAAAAAGGGGCATAATTCTGTCAAAATGCTTGATACAGTTACCTCCTCCTGTTTACAGGTTGGGGTCATGATGGTGAACAAGTGTGCAAAGTTTCAAAGCCATATGTCAATGGACTTTGAAAATATTTGAGGTATTACAAAAACTTTAACGTAAATTCTAAGTTGAAAAAGGGGCATAATTCTGTCAAAATGCTTGATACAGTTACCTCCTCCGGTCTAAACGTAGGGGTGATGATGGTGAACAAGTGTGCAAAGTTTCAAAGCCATATGTCAATGGACTTTGAAAATATTTGAGGTATTACAAAAACTTTAACATAAGTGGTTACGCCGACGCCGATGCTCGGGTGACTACAATAGCTCTACTTATTCTTATTGAATAGTCAAGCTAAAAATCATTAAAACAACCTTCCTGACAAATTTTCAGAATATTTGGATCAAAACTGCAGCCACTAGAGTGTTAACAAGCCTTTTCTATTTTAAGCCCCTGTGACCTAGTTTTTGACCAGAGATGACCCATATTCAAACTTGACCTAGAATTCATCAAAACAACCTTTTTGATAAATTTCCAGGAAATTTGGATCAAAACTGCAGCCACTAGAATGTTAACAAGCTTTTTCTATTTTTAGCTCCTGTGACCTAGTTTTTGACCAGACATGACCCATCTTCGAACTTGACTTAGATATCATCAAAACAACCTTCCTGACAAATTTCCAGAATATTTGGATGAAAACTGCAGCCTCTAGAGTGTTAACAAGCTTTTTCCTTTTTTAGCTCCTGTTACCTAGTTTTTGACCTGAGATAACCCATCTTCTAACTCGATCTGTATTTCATTGAGACAAACATTCTGACAAAGTTTGATGATGATCCAATCAATACTGTGACTGCTAGAATGTTAACAACCCAATTGTTGACGGTGCAGGACGCACGACGACAGACATAGCCCCATCACTTTCCCTCACCTTGACCACTTCGTGGTCAGGTGAGCTAAAAATGTTATATACTTGGTGTTTAAAATTATTTGTCTGATGTATACTATATATGGTTCATTAATCTCTAATAAGTTCAAGAAGTTCTTAAGTCATCAATAACTTATTTGATGTCGCTAAAAAATTTTTGTTTATGCAAGTTATAAGAGTTAAGAATTTGTGGTATTGATTTAGGTGATGCTATTGCTAGTAATTATGATATTGTATGGAATATCTGAAAAACTTAAATTTCAGATACTTCAATAATGGCAGCAAATGGAATGAAATGGAAAAAATATATCTAGTAATACTTTTCTACTTATCTTTATTTTAGCAATAAGAGATCCATTTCTTCCAGTAAAAGGTTAAAAATACTCAATGTCAAAAATAAATATTAACCAATAAGCAACAGGGGGGTAAAAATTCTGTATGATAAGCTGTGAGAAAAATAAGTTCAATTATAGTTATATTTACATTGGTATTATTTTTCATCCTTTAGATAGATATTTCCTTGCTATAAAGACAAGAGTTAGATAATTTAATAGTTTTATTAACAAGAACTGTTGGAGGACTGCGACGCTCGACTATTCAAAAAAGTTGTCACAAGGGTGTTTCATTGAGTATAATAATGCTTACCTATATGAATACATAAAATTGCCCGAAAAGGTACAAAGGCTTGTTATTAAGATGTTTTATCTAGTTAATCACTGCTTTATAATTATGAATGCATAAAATTGTCCCCAAAAAGGCACAAACACAACAGTAGTTATGGAGATACCAGCTTACAAGCAAAAACTTTACCAAGAATTTCTAAGCTAAAAAGGGGCATTATAATGAAAAAAACAAATTTGAGTTATGCGACTTGTGCCAATCATGTTAGATAATCACAGAAAACAAGTGTGTGAAGTTTCAATCCATTCCCTTCAGTAGTTATGGAGATACCAGCTTACATGCAAAAACTTAACCACAGGGACGCCGGCAAATGTGTGACTGCATTAGCTTGATTATTCTGCGAATAGTCGAGCTAAAAAAGGGAGGCTAGATGGAGTTAAATATGGATTTGTTAAGGATTCTTCAGACATAGGAATTGAAAAGAAGGCTACATTGATATGAATAGATCCAATAATGGTGCAAATGTTGTAAATTAATAGTTACATTTGATATGGTTTGAAATAAATCTAGCTGTATGGATTATTGTTGATATTTGTCATCAAATATCAATATAATATAATGTCAGTATGATTTGGACTGAACCAATGACAACTCATATATAGAAATAATTATACATACTTACACTTGGCTAATTGGTGAATTTAAGTCCATAAAAATATTCACCCCACCCGTAGTAATTCTGTACTTGTAGCATGAAAAGATGCCAGCAATAAAACACACATATTCTATGTCCCACTGTCCACAATAAGCAAATAAAATTAGTAAGTGAGATAGGAACACCAAAAATGATAGCAATGCTTTGTTCTGAGGCCTGAAAAAAAAAAGTATTCAGAAGATTTATGATTATATTTAAGTATAATATTATTAAACATAATTACAAAATTTTGAAGAAGACTCCACCATCATGCAGTTGTTTAGAGCACAAGCAAGTACCTTATTTGAATTATGACTTACAAGATTTTGAAAAATTGTATTAAGGACAAAATTGTTTGGGAAAATAGAGTTTAGAAAAGTGGTGTGCAGCAACAAAATGGTGTTTAGAAAAATGATGTTTAGAATTATGTTTTTGAAAGAAATAGTTTCTAGAACAATGGTGCTAAGGTTTTTTCTTTCCTTTGTTTTCCTTTTTTTGTTGGATTTTTTTTTTTGTCACACCAACACTATAATTGTCATATGGCGACTTTCCATCTTAACTGGTTGAGGAAGACCTAGGGTAACACTTATTTCAGGAATGTACAGGCACCGTAGTAAAATCACCAATATTCCCTAAGCTATCCAGCTAGCATTCTCAAAAGAAGGATTCCAAAGTCCTTGGAAAGATTCAAACCCACAGGGCAAATAGTATGAAGTGAAAGACCTTAACCACTAGGCCACAGATGCAAGAACAAAGGCATATAACATAATGATGGTTAAAGAAATGATGTTAAAAAAGGGTTTACAAACTTTACATAAAATTCACAATTTGAAGATTGTTTCCTCTCCGAATTACAATAAAATTAGACAAATAATTCATTAATGAAATACTGTACCATTCAAAAGAATATTGATTAAAATAAAATAAGTAACTCATAAAAGCTATCCTGTAAAACAAATTGCTCGACTATTCTCAGTGCTCGACTGTAAGAAAAGGGGTATAACTCTATTAAAAGGTTATTAGTTATGGGATCTATGCAACTGAGCAAATCATGTTAAACAAGCAATTATCATAGTATTGCAAGCAATCCATAAGTCCCCTACCGGATGGAACCCCATCAACATTCTGAAGGGCCATTGGCCATTCTCTAATGTTTTTATAGTAAATTTGTTGGAAAAGTTCTTTAAAAGTGATCACAGGAAACAGTTTTGTTGAAAAGACAGACGGACTGAAGGACACTCTAAATTTAATATTTGAAACATCCATTACCAAAATATAACAATTTAAAAAGCAAAATTCTTAAAGAGGAGATAACTCTGGAATTAAAGATGCAATTTCATAAAAATTTTCAGCTCTTTTTGGCTAATCACAAATATTGTTATATTTGCCATGTTTTAAGCCTATTTGTTGCCAAGGCAACCAATATTTTTTCAAAATAAGAAGAACAGATAAGACATGCATAATCTCAAGACTGCCATCTACCCATATGTCAAGTTTCATAAAAATATTTCCAGTACTTTTTAAGTTATCACTGGATTCAGTTTATGTGTAAAATTTGCCATATTTTCAGTCTATGTGTTGCCATAGCAACCAGAATTGTCAAAGAAAAAGATGTGCATAATCTCCAGACTGCCATCTACACATATTACAAGTTTCATAAAGATACTTTTATTGCTTTTTGCGTTAACACTGGACCCAGTTTATGTGTAGAAATTGCCATATTTTCAGTCTATTTGTTGCCATAGCAACCAGAATTTACAACATAGGAAGAAAAGAAAAAGACGTGCATAATCTCCAGACTACCATCTACCCATATTTTAAGTTTCATAAAAATATTTCCAGTACTTTTTGCGTTATCACTGGATCCAGTTTATGTGTAAAATTTGCCATATTTTCAGCCTATTTGTTGCCATAGCAACCAGAATTTTCAACATAGGAAGAAAAGAAAAAGACGTGCATAATCTCCATACTGCCATCTATCCATATATCAAGTTTCATAAAAATATTTTCAGTACTTTTCAAGTTATCGCGGGATCCAGTTTTGTGGACGGACTGACAGACAGACAGACGGACGGACGGACAGACAGACGGACGGACAGACGGATGGAGGGTAAACCTAAAGTCCCCTCCGGTAAACCGGTAGGGGACTAATAATCACAGAGAACAAAAGTATGAAGGTTCAATTCACTCCCTTTAGTTGTTTTGAAGAATACTTACTTGCACACAAAAACTTTACCAAAGCGTGATGGTAAAGCAAATGCTGGGAAGAGTACAATAGCTCCCTTTATTATTTGAATAGTCAAGCTAATACAATGTTTCAACCATTCCATACAAATGAATTTGAAACTTACAACATAAGCCAGTCTGCTAGGTCTGGAGTATTCAACCATTTGTTCCCAGTCTGGTTTATAGTCCGCATACACCTCCCTAGCAACATTACAGTAAATATTCCTCCAATCTGTTTCCATGGTAACAGAAATCTCCAATGTAAAGAAATCATGGAATGTGTTGTTATAGCTTTATCTGAACAAAGTAAAGTTTGATCAAAATTGTCTGAAATAGTTTGAAAATTGTTTCTTCTGCTGTTTGAAAAATGTTTAAAATGATATTTCTTTTCTCCATTTTTGTTCATTACTATGTTTTGTTCATAGAATCCACCAGTTGCCAAATCAACTGAGATATTAGAGAAAGTTCTGTTATCTGCATATATCTTTTCCTTTTGTAAAACCTTAGTTACATAACCTTTGACCTCCATTGTCATAGCAACCAGGTAAAACGTCATCACAAGAAAATACCAGGTCTGATGTTCTTCCTCCACAAAACTGCTTGAGCCAAAACTAAGAGTATGAAACAATGTACCTAGCCAAAGAAGTCTGGACAAACTTGACTGTGGTAACTGAAAAAACAACAAAAAAACTATCAACTAGGGAAGTTATTGTATTGTTGGTAAATTAAAGCAACATAATTATTACTGTCATCAACACTATTTGCATCCTTCGCTTGTAATCAATATAAAATGATGGATTCAAGCTAGACTTCTCCACAAACTTAAATTAGCCATAGAAAATTTCAGACAAGCCAGAGTAAAGCACTCCTGCGAGATTTTAAGGACAGTTTTATCTATCATGATCTGGTAAAAGAACAGTAAAATTTGAAACAGCAACTTCACAGTAGCAGACCCAGAGCACTATGTAACTAAAATTGAAACAAGACTTGCAATGTGCCTGGTATACTATGTTTAGACCACTCAAAAAGTTTAATAAATTTCAGAAAAGAAGTTTACATTACACAAAATTTTATGTAAGATTGCTATCTAAAAATGGCAACTGCATTTTTTTTAAACATATGTTTGAAATAGCAAACATGTATTATTTTTCTTTATTTTTTTTGCACAAATTTAAAATAACTTGTAGAAACAAGAATCTTAATTTCCAAATATGTGTATTATTAATTTTTTTTACCTTTATATTTGTCTGTATGAAGTTACTAGATGATAATGTGATCAGTGAAAAAAGAATGCTTCCAAATGAAACCAGCTGCATAGCAACAGATGTGTAGCTCCTCCCACAAAGGTAAGTACTATAAAGTGACTGGCTAGTGCAAAATGTCACATGACTGAAGCTGACCAATAGGGTTATCAAAATAACAGTAGAAGATGACAAAGTTAGAGAAACTGGTTGTCTGCTGGATACTGTCAACAATATACATACAATTAATGTCTGAAAAATAAAATGTCTTAAATAAAATCCAAGATGTACAGAAAAGAAATTTACTGATAAATTTTGGCATAAAGCTCTCTTAAATATTTTATTAATTCTAGTGAGATTGAAGCCCATATTTATACAAGTTCATACAGAATTTATTTTAGTTTTATTGTGTAGGAAGCTAGAACTTAAAAGTCACACTCTTGAATCCATTCCGAAGCAAGAGTGTAAAGTTTTTTGCTCAAGGAAAAAACGCTTGCTCCTGGTTTAAACCCACATGGCTTGAATTCCTTAGATTACTAGTTTTGACATTTTAACCACTTAGCCATTACCGCCACTGAATGAAATGATACAAAGTATTTTGTGCTTTTCAATACTTAACAAGATATGTTTCTATTGGCAGCCAATTAGTCATGTAATCAGGTTATTATGACTGACTTTTGACCTAGTGACCAAAAAATCAATAAGGGTTAATTACTGGTTATGACTAGTCACTAGGTAATTGTGATCACAAAGGTTGTGGGCATCAATTTTATGACAAAGTTATTTCAAATCTTACCAAATAATATATGCATAAATGACAGCCAAGTTGTTATATTACATAAGACCTTGAAATGTGTATACCAAAAGGATTTTTAGTTTAATTAAAAAAATATCAACCAAGGCAACTTGAGTTGTTGAGTTATTGGTCGAACAAATTTTACATACAAGGTCAATATAACATTGACCCTTGACCCTTAAATCAAAAAGTCCAGCTAAAAATGGTAGACGCCCATTAGAAGATGTTTCATGCTAAATATCTTAGCTCTAGCTCTAAAGGTTTTTTAAAAGAAGGTTTTTTAAGTTTTTACTACATACATAAAGAGAAAAACAATGACCCCCTGGGATAGGGCCAATTATGACCTCAGGACTTTTATTTGCACTAGAAGATGTTTCATGCTTAATAGCTAAGCTCTAGCTATTTGGATTTTTTAAAAGAAGATTTTTTAAGTTTTTACTATATACAAATAAGGAAAAGCAATGACCCCCCGGGGCGGGGCCAATTTTGACCCCATGGCATTTATGTGAACAAACTTGGTAGACACTGACTAGATAAATATTTAAGCTCTAGCTCTTTCAGTTTTCTAAAAGAAGATATTTTAAGTTTTTTCTTTCAGTTGCCATGGCAGCCAGAGTTCTGCTAAGAATTAAATTCTTTAAACACTTTTTAAAGTTGACTAACAAAGGAACATTCCTGTGAAGTTTGGATGAAATTGGCTAAGCGGTTTATGAGGAGATGTTGTTTAAAGTAAAAGTTTAAAGACGGACGACAGACGGACACCGGATGAAAAACGATCACAAAAGCTCACCATGTCAATTTGTGACAGGTGAGCTAAAAATTAACACAGTATACTGTTAATATTCATCGAAAACACAGGTACAGTTGAAAATTTTAAAAATCCTGAAAATTTTGCTGGGGGTCCCTGGCGGGTCCAGGGCTGAGCCCTGGCGGGGGGACCAGGGGGGCTATCCCCCCCACCCCCCTCCCCCGGAAGCTCTTGGAAACAAGCAATTTGAGATGATCAAACTACCCTTTTTCATCACAAAAACAATCTATAAATGATAAAAAAATGCTTCAGTTTAAATCCTATTCTATGACTTTATTGATAACCCAGGTATTTCTGGTTTCCGTGGGCAGCATGAAATACCCAAATATTGCCCAAAATATATAAAAAAAATAAATATTTTATACTAAAAAATTAAATGCTGTTTTTATTAAGAATACAATATATTCTTTCACTAAGATATAACCAAACATACCCAAATATACATTTTCCTATCATTGTGTTTTGAACAAAAATATAGATATGTATATTCAAAATGGCCAAATATACTCCATTAAAAGCTATTAAATTAAAAAAAAAATCATATGATGGACACTTGTATGAAATTACAACAAAATTATACCCTAAAAATTTAAATGTAGACAACAAATATTATCATATCATATCTTTATCTTAAATTGCAAGTATATTAATTAATGAATCTAGATCAGCAAAGTCACAAGTTTATTTTCTTACAAAATCTCAATGAATGAAAGTTACAGCCGGCTTAGTCAAGTTATTTTATAAAAAATCATTTATTTTCTCATTATAAAGAAATATATATATTATGCAAACAAAGATGAATATTATACTATATTTGCCTTTTATTTGGGTGTATCTATTCTGGGTATGGTTGGGTACTTCCTGCGGGTCAATTTGTGCCGCCGGTTTCCGTAGCCAAATATCCCCATAAATACCCCTTTGAATTAATTTCACTCAACGACAGCCATCTCCAATTATTTGCAACTTTGCTTTGTTTCTCTAGGTCTTTGGTATTATAGCTCACGGGCAGAAACTTCATGATGAGAATTATTTTTGTTTTGTTTATTACGGAAGTACAAACTTGCCGGTCACTTGTTTTCTATAATCTGATTCGACAATCACAACTTGACCGACCAATCAGAAGCGTTGACTCATACCAAGGTGCCTGATGCACACAAACGTTCATAATGCACAAAATGACTTTTTGAATTTAACGAAACGGAAAAAAGCACCACCTGTTTATAAAATCAAATGGCTAATCGAGTTGTTTCAGGTCTCACTCGAGGGAAGAGGCAACCTATACCGCCCAGAAATCTCAACAGATTTACGCGATTCACAAAAATGATCCTGGAGACTGGCTTAAATCCGGAACTTCCAGACTATTCCTGAAAACTTTCACCCATGCAGGTATGTATTGATTTCAACAATAACTTTAAATTTTTATATGCAATGACGTTGTTATCTAACGGAACAACTCCCAAAGTATTGTGTAGACTAGTTTAAAGTCGACCTATGTAACCTGGATAACATTCACGTAATGTCCTTGGTAAAATACGATCTCACTACACATGATAATACTTCCAATTTCCGTTTGCTTGAACTACTGATCCCGAGGACAAATTTGCATGGGCCATTTGAGATTGAGCAAACTAGAACTGTGTCCAAAGGACACGGATGCCCCCACTGTGCAGATGTGCTCCTAAACAAGAGCATGCATATCTGTATGTAATATTTTTATGTGGAACTTTTTATTAAAATCTGCCATCCGGTTTAAGAGTTGCGTTCACAAAATTTCTATATGGTATATAGTGAAAAAATCAACAAAGGGCCATAATTCTAGTAAATTTGGTCACAGCAAAAATTCCTTCCTTTACTACCATCTACACATTAAGGTTGTTCATCCCTGGAAGTTTAAGCAAAATTTGCCATCCGGTTTCAGAGGAGTTGCGTTCACAAAATTTCTACATAGTATATAGTGAAAAAATCAACAAAGGGCCATAATTCTAGTAAATTTGGTCGCAGCGAAAATTCCTTCCTTTACTACCATCTACACATTAAGGTTGTTCATCCCTGGAAGTTTAAGCAAAATCTGCCAACCGGTTTAAGAGGAGTTGCGTTCACAAAATTTCTACATAGTATATAGTGAAAAAACCAACAAAGGGCCATAATTCTGTTAATTTTGGTCGCAGCGAAAATTCCTTCCTTTACTATCATCTACACATTTAGGTTGTTCATCACTGAAAGTTTAAGCAAAATCTGCCATACGGTTTAAGAGGAGTTGCATTCACAAGATTTCGGGACGTACGGACAGACTGACTGACTGACTGACGGACGGACAAGTGATACGCTATATGCTCCCACTTTGTGGGGGCATAATAAAATTAAAATGTACTTTGTATAATCCAGCTAAACAGTACTTAAAAATACAGTTTAATTTAGGAGATTCCTATGAATACACAAAGTTTACTCTATTTACTTACCAGAAACAGTAACAAAATAGCTAGCAACATGCTGTAATGGTCATATGTTATCAAGGCTCCAGATATCTTTCTTGATATGGATTCCATTGCTGACTCATAACTATGTAAAATTAAAGATACATCTGTGGGTGACGAAGTTGTTTGTGTATCAAGAAATGACCTGTGAAGATTTACAGCATGGAGATATAGGTCATAACAACTATCTGAAACAAAAAAACCAAGAGAATATCTCAAGTTTTAACATATTCAGTGAAAATATAGGATTTACTCTAATTTTTGTTGTAAAATGAGGTTAAATTTAAAATGCATGGAACAAATCTCAAGGCCACTTTTCGATTAAAGTAATAACTAGAAGAGTTTTTGTCATAACAAGCAATTATCATAGTATTGCAAGCAATCCATAAGTCCCCTACCTGTTAGAACCCCAGCAACATTCTAAAGGGCCATTCACTTATGTTTCTATTTTAAGTAAATTTGTTGAAAAAGTTCTTTAAAAGTGATCACAGGAAACAGTATTTATGTACAGATAGACAGACAGACAGACTGAAGGACACTCTAAAGTTATTTTTTTAAACATCCCTGTCATCAAAATATAACATTTTTAAAAGCAAAATTCTTAAAAAGGAGATAACTTTTATAATAAAGATGCAAGACGTCATACATGATGTGAGTGTAACAAAGAACAATTAGTAATGAAGGTGTTGATAATGAATGTTTATTTTGAATTTGAAGAAAAAGAAAGTTAAAAGAATGAATATGAAAAATTCAAAAATTAAGGAGGAGATAATTCTGGAAATATGGTGCTAGATTTATAAACCTTGTCATGTTATTATGATGTGGGAATTTAAAGAAAATCCTATAATGATTGAAGAAGTTGGAGTAGAAATTACCAATTTCTCGAAAAAAGTTTTAGTTCAAAAGGGGCATAATTCTGAAAAGAGTCTTGCTAGAGTATTGAACTTTCTCACAAATGTTGAGTGATAATAAGAAACATATACATTGTATATGTAGTTTGAAGTAGATACATTCAGAAAAAAAGAAGTTATTAAAAAAAAAACAATATTTTTTTCACGAAATTCTAAGTTCAAGGGAGGAAATTCTGATAAATTTTGTGCTAGAGTTGTAAACCTTGTCACATATGATTTGGTTGATGACTATAAACTTATATTTAAAGTTTGAAGAAAATACCTTAAGAAATAAAGAACTTATAGTGAAAAAACGTAAAAACTGACAGACAGACGGACGGAGGGTAAACCTAAAGTCCCCTCCGGTAAACCGGTAGGGGACTAAAAACATATTATGTCTCCCAAAACTATGGATGGTCACTCATGTGAAGTTTCATTGAAATCCCACCAGTACCTTGACCTATGAAAGCCGGACAAGATTTTTATATTTATAGCTCTGGTGGCCATTTTGTGCATCGAAGCGGAACATGCCCATGATGTGCATAACTAGGGATGGTACTGATCACTCCTGTAAAGTTTGGTTGAAATTCCACCAGTGGTTTGACCTGTGAAGGCCGGACAAGATCTTAAGCTCTGGCGGCCATTTTGGGCAGCGAAGAGGAACATGCCTGTGATGTGCACAATAGCTTGACCTGTGAATGGCGGACAAGATTTTTCTATTTTTGGTTCAGGCGGCTATTCTGTGTAGCGGACGAACGAACAGACAGATGGGGAAGGCAAAAACAATATGTCTCCCAAAAATTTTGGAAGACATAATTTTGTCAAATGATAAAATATGGTCATACTATAATCAGGACATAAATCCATAATCACTGCCTTAAGAGATCACAAATCCAAAATTACTGTGTTAAAATGACAGAAACCTCAAATCAATGAGTTAACAAGACATACATGTGGTGAAAGGACATGTATCTAAGATTACTGCATTGTGAGACCACAAATCCAAGGTCACTGTGTTAAAAGGTTGTGTTGTGAGGTCTGAACCTAAACCTCAGTGTTGAAAAGACATGTAAAAGATTACTGTGTTAAGAGAACATGAAACCAAAGTCATTCAGCTGAGGGGACATGAATCGAAAATCAATGTAATGAGAGTACATAATAATGTTTACTGCATTGGGAGGACACAAACCCAACAAGATCACTGCATTTTGGGGAAGAAATCTTAACCAAAAGGTTACATCATCAGAGATACAGTTTAGACTATCAATATAAATATTAATCTCTAATCTAATAAGTTTATGTAACATACGGTACAGATAACGAAGAATATGCAAATTCCTGCGAGTAACGAGTAATTACAACAAGAGGGCCATGATGGCCCTGAGGTCGCTCACCTGTATAAAGGCACCCGGAGCGGGGCCAGTTTAAACCCCAGGGCTTTTATTTCAACAAACTTGGAAGCCACCCATTAGAAGATGTTTCACGATGCTAAGTTTTTACTACACACATATAATGAAAAACAAAAATCTACCCCCCTCCCCCCCCCCCCCGCAGGGCCAATTTTAACCCAGGGCTTTTATTTGAACAAACTTGGTAGACACCCATAAGAAGATAATTCATGCTAAACATCTAAGCTCTAGCTCTAGCTCATTGGGCTTTTTAAAGGAAGATTGTTTAAGTTTTTACTATACACATATAGTTAAAAACAATGACACCCCTGGGGCAGGGCCAGTTTTGACCCCAGGGCTTTTATTTGAACAAACTTGGTAGACACCCATTAGAACATGTTTCATGCTAAATATCTTAGCTCTAGCTCTTTGGGTTCTTTAAAAGAAGATTTTTTAAGTTTTTACTATATGCATAAAGGGAAAATCAAAGACCCCCTGGGGGCGGGGCCAATTTTGACCCCAGGGCTTTTATTTGAACAAACTTGGTAGACACTAACTAGAAGATGTTTCATGCTTAATATCTAACGTCTAGCTATTTGGGTTTTTTCAAAGAAGATTTTTTTAAGTTTTTGCTATACACATATAAGGAAAATCAATGACCCCCGGGGCGGGGCCAATTTTGACCCCAGGGCTTTTATTTGAACAAACTTGGTAGACACCCATTAGAACATGTTTCATGCTTAAGATCTTAGCTCTAGCTCTTTGAGTTCTTTAAAAGAAGATTTTTTTAAGTTTTTACTATATGCATGTAGGGAAAATCAATGACCCCCTGGGGTGGGGCCAATTTTGACCCAGGGCTTTTATTTGAACAAACTTGATAGACACTCATTAGAAGATGTTTCATGCTAAATATCTCAGCTCTAGCTCTTTGGGTTCATTAAAAGAAGATTTTTTAAGTTTTTACTATATGCATATAGGGAAAATCAAAGACCCCCGGGGCGGGGCCAATTTTGACCCCAGGGCTTTTATTTGAACAAAGTTGGTAGACACTCATTAGAAGATGTTTCATGCCAAATATCTAAGCTCTAGCTCTTAGGGTTTTTAAAAAGAAGATATTTAAAGTTTTTACTTTTGGTTGCCATGGCAACCAGAGTTCTGCATGGAATTAAATTCTTTGAACAATTTTTAAAGGTGACCACCAAAGGAACATTCCTGTGAAGCTTGGATGAAATTGGCCGAGTGGTTTATGAAGAGATGTCATTTAAAGTAAAAGTTTACGGACGGACGGACGAAGGACGAAAAGCGATCACAAAAGCTCACCCTGTCACTTTGTGACAGGTGAGCTAAAAAAGCGTGACTCCCGAGTGGATTATAAATTTCTCGTACACAAAAGAGTGACTCCGCGTCGATAACGAGTGACAATAAAGTCCGCGGGACTCCGTGAATCTCCGAGTCAAAAAGAGTGACAGTCATGGAAGAGTTACTTCCCTTACCGGATGTGACGTAAATGGGGGATAAAACTATGCAGGCCGCATAGAATGATAGCTTATTGAAAAGTTTAATGCGTAAATACTGATCGTTCAATTATGATTATTACATGTAAAAATTTAGGCATGCATACATAAATTCAATATCAAGACAATAGAAAAAATACTAAAACAAAGATTGAGATTAATTCTCGCTACGGAGTGAAACAGCGAAATTTCAAAGTGAATATATTTATTAGATTTAGATTTACTCTTATGCCAGGATAAAAGCTAGTAACTAAATCAAATTTTAATATTTTATAAACACCCATACACACTGAAATTGCCTATTATAAATTTAAATGGCCATTCTCTAGTTCTCTGTGTTATTTTCTGTCATTTAGAAAATTCCGGCGTATTTGTGACAAACATGAAAATAAGATTGCCAATGTCTTTTAATGATTGTTTTTCAAGCTTTAATAGAACAAAAACAGAATGCATTCTGTCAATACTCACTGATTCTTTTTCATTATGCCGTGTAAAAAATATTTCAAAGAACCAGTGAAGGATATAATTCTATAAATATTTCGGAAGTAACGAAAACCATGTGACATTGACTTTTATAATTTTAGATTCGCAACAGACGATAATAAGATAATTTTGATATTAAAAATCTATTCTTATGGTTATAAAAATAAAGACCTTTTCCCAGTAACTTATTTCATAGATAAATAGATGTGTATATATAAGCGACACAGGGCCGTAACATATTAATTAGCAGGATGCATATGTTGTAAAGCGGCACTTGGCTGTGATATTATAAATCATCAGAGTGCATTTTTTAGAGTTATAACATTACATCAAATTACGTCACTTTTGTTAGGTGTCAAAATATTTATGGTCCGAATTTTGTTATGGATCATCCTGGGGACTTAATTGGTCATGCCTTACTGATTTGATACTCGATCCAGAGTCCTACCAACTGGCACAGTCAAAAATACGTAAATTATAATTCAGTTAATTAATAACAAATTTCTGTGAACGTGATTCACAACTTGTTTTGTTTTTTTTTTTGGTGATTTTTTAAAAAATATTTGATAAGCAGAGTATGAATTAAAAAGTATCAAGTTGAAAATCTTACTTTACCAGCTTATATATATTGGTGTGATGTAAGATTTTTTGAGAGTGCATTTTTTGCAGATACAAATAGTATACAGTCATGTACATTCAGAATTTTTACTTTTTATGCCTTTACATTTTTTTAAATTACATGGATTTATATTGTTGTTTTTCTTTGTCTTAGTAATGCTTAAATCAAAATATTTTTTAATCAACCAGTATATTGCAATTAATTATTACGCAGCCGTTTTTTCGAAACTACAGAATCCTTACATTTTTGAAACTCAAAGTATCTTTTGGATAATTGTATATTAGCAGAGACATAGATACATTATCTATATCTCTGGTATTAGCAAGTTAGTACTATTTAACTGCCTGGTAAAATTTTCATTATTAACGATTAATGGTAATCATGATCAGTTACTGGCAGCAATATGGTCTACTATTAAAACAAACCGTTAACCTTATTATAGTAAACATTTTTATTCATTTCACCATCCTTTTTATATAATATCTTATTCAATTACACAAAATTTTGGCAATTTCAATCTGCCAATCTTACAAGAGAAAAGATTAAGATCTAATACTATAAGATCTTTATATCCCTCTATTATTGTACTTAATCGTATCAGTATTGTTCACCGTATCCCCCAATGATGTCATCCAAGGGCGACAACTTGAATACGGTCTTAAATGAAAGGGTCTATAACTCTTGAATTCCTCCATAATGCCTGAAGTAAAAAAACAACAAAAATATTAATTTATTAATGATCATCGAAAGACAATTTACTTTTGATTCCAATATCAACATACATCTGCATATGACTTTGATAGACAGATTTTCGGAGATATTCTTGGAATAAAATTACAACAATATATTACTAACATGCAGCTTTATTTAGAAACGAATAAATCAATGTTAATTCTCAAAAATTATATATAAATCAGGTGTCTTCTAATTAAAATTAATGTAAAAAATGTCGGACGTGACAGGCTGACACTTAACTAAAATACATGTAAACAATGGATGTATGAAGAAACATACAATTTTACAAACCAAGTATCTTTTATTTTATAGAAGTTGGGAAAGTTAATTTTTTTGATGTGCACATGTTATCAATGATTAAAATATTATGAAGATCGAAACTCATTTTCCACATAAAAAAAACAAAACACAACACAATATTTGGCACCTGAAATAAATTAGAACGGCACGTTATCGGTATTTGATGCATTTAGAAACATTTACATCTAAATAAAAATACGATGATGTATAAATAAACATACAAAAAATAAAGACATTTCATAAATTATAACTACATAGATTATTTTCATCAAAAGGAAGTTGTAGGTTTTTGTCTCGAGGAACTGTCCCAGTGATTTAATACGACAAGAAAGACATTTAAGATTAATGAAGTTTATATAATTTGAATCATTCTTATTTCATAAAAAAGTATAAAAAAATGTTGGGCCGTTATTATATGGATTTTTTTTAACGGTTTTTGTTTTTGATAGAATTTCGGGTTCCTGTGGTTATTGCTACTGACCTAATTAATCGGGATAAAAATAAACTTGATGACGCTTACGGTTGTGGTTTTAACTAATCAAATGTACCTTTCAACTGTTTCAGGGTAAATTGAAAACAACAATGGAAAAAATTATCTTTATTTTCGAATGGTAATCTAAAAAATGAAATTAAATATAAAATGAGATTGCACTTGCATTTATTTACACCAGCTAGACACCGACACGGAGTTACGCGGTAATTCTCTCTCGGAGTCACGCGCTTTAATTTTCGTCTCGGAGTCGTTCTCATCACACGTTTCTCACGCGGAGTCACACGTTTTTATGGACAAATACTCTCGCGGAGTTGGGAGTGTTTTCCTTGATCCTCCGAGGATTTTGCATATTCCTCGTTATCTGTACTCTACTTGTCCTGCCTTGAATTCTAAGGAGTTGCTGAAATTCTTGAGTTTTTTTGTCATTATCAAATGATAAATGAAAGCATCCAATGAAAAAAAAAAGCTTTTTTGATACCTTTTTCAAAGTCTGATACTCTTTTCTCCATCAGTTTAACAATTTGCTGCATATTTATATACATGGTGTTCAACTTCTCCTCATTGTTGAGACCTTCAAGGGCGGCGATCAAGACCTGCCCTAAATTGTTTTTTGGTATTGGCAGCCCCATTAGTACAGACAGTGTTGGGGCCAGGTCGACTTGTAACAGTTCTCTTTGGCTCTTCCAAACTTTGTCTGCACGAAAAAACAAGCATGAGAAAACACTTATAAACTCAAACTTACCCTTTTTTAAAAAAAATTTAGCGTGATAAATTACTCACTAGTATCACAACACAAATTTATCTACTTAATAAATGAGCAACAAAAAAAATTTGCAGTAACCTTGAAGCTGCACGCCTCTAGAAGAGCCAAAATATTTCAAGAAAATCAATATTGAGAACAAGAGGGCCATGATGGCCCTGAGGTCGCTCACCTGTATATAGCCCCCCCCCCCCCCGGCCCAATTTTTACCCAAGGGCTTTTATTTGTTTATTTGAACAGACTTGGTAGACACCCATAGGAAGTTGTTTCATGCAAAACATCTAAGTTCTAGCTCATTGGGTTTTCATTAAAAGAAGATTTTTTAAGTTTTTACTATATGCATATAGGGAAAATCAAAGACCCCCTGGGGCGGGGCCAATTTTGACCCCAGGGCTTTTATTTGAACAAACTTGGTAGACACTCATTAGAAGATGTTTCATGCCAAATATCTAAGCTCTAGCTCTTAGGGTTTTTTTAAAGAAGATATTTAAAGTTTTTTTCTTTTGATGGCAACCAGAGTTCTGCGTGGAATTAAATTCTTTGAACAATTTTTAAAGGTGACCACCAAAGGAACATTCCTGTGAAGTTTGGATGAAATTGGCTTAGTGGTTTATGAGGAGATGTCATTTAAAGTAAAAGTTTACGGCCGGACGCCGGACGAAAAGCGATCACAAAAGCTCACCCTGTCACTTTGTGACAGGTGAGCTAATAAACACCAATACAATGGACCTGTAATATTTTGAGAGACAAAACATGATGGGGTGCAGTTTTGGGGATTCTAACATGCAGTTTGACAGACACTTGCTAGAAGATGTTTCATACCAAATATCTAAGTTCTAGCTGTTAGGGTTTTTTAAAAGAAGATATTTAAAGTTTTTTCTTTCGGTTGCCATGGCAACCAGAGTTCTGCATGGAATTAAATTCTTTGAACAATTTTTAAAGGTGACCACCAAAGGAACATTCCTGTGAAGTTTGGATGAAATTGGCTTAGTGGTTTATGAGGAGATGTCATTTAAAGTAAAAGTTTACGGACGGACGGACGCCGGACGAAAAGCGATCACAAAAGCTCACCATGTCAATTTGTGACAGGTGAGCTAATAAACACCAATACAATGGACCTGTAATATTTTGAGAGACAAAACATGATGGGTGCAGTTTTGGGGATTCTAACACGCAGTTTGACAGATCATCCACAGGACTAATAGACATACTATTGCCATACCGTCTTAAACCCTCAAACTATTATAACTTATTATAACTGCAAGTTACAAGTGAAAATTGTTTAATATTTTTTCCTGTTATATGTATACATGTATACCTCGTCTGTTGAATGATGGACTTAGGAATACAGCTGGTACTAGAACTTCTCTATCAGATGCACCTCCATGACTTCCTTGATCAGACATTCCGTGATCACCACACACTAAAAGAAGAAAATTCTCCTCCTGAAACACAGACAGACAAACATAAAATATACTAAACCCCAAACATCTAAGTTGTTAAAATATCCAAAAAAAAAATGTTTGAATCACTAGAAATGTGTCTGAAGGATATAGATGACCTAATATTCCACTGTTTTGACAGTCTACTGATGGAAAGCAGTGAAACAAAGGGACAAAGGCAAATCTAAATGCTCAGTTCAATGTTTTCTAACCAGACAATATAATTATCTCTACAGAATGAAAAGTGAACAAATTAAATCTTTATAGGAATTGAAATGTGTGAGTGTTACTTAAATTTGGCTTAATATAAAATATTGATAAAACAGATATATTGCCTACAACTAGTATGCAAGGCACTGAGTGATAACTTACAAATAAAATAAATAAATAAAAACTTTCAAGACAGACTAAAACATTTGGTGAAATGGTAAAATGTTTTCTGATGAAATGGTAAATTGTTATGTATCTTTTAAGTTCTGTCTTAATTCATGTAGTGTTAAAGAATTATTTAAGTGTCACTGATAAAAACACTATGATATGTTGAAGGGGAAAAAAAGCATACCTTCTTTTCTAATGTTGTGTAAAGTTTCTGTACAATGTCATCCATTTCTTGAAGTTTTGGTTTAACTAAAGGACTGGTTGGACCCACAGTGTGCCCAATGTGATCTAATCCAAGGTAGTGAAGAACCATCAAATCCCAGTCAGAGGCAGACAACTCATGGTCAATATGTCTTGTCACATTATTGTCAACCTATAAACATAACTATGAGTTATTTTGATTAAGATGTAAAAATTAATTTAAACTTTTTTAATTTTTGTATATTTTGTTTGCCAGTGATTTTCTTCATGGAAAATAAATTATGTAACTGTATTTTGTACCTTTCCCCTCAATGAAGAGAGCGCGAGCATAATTTACAACAAGAGCTACCACTGGGCGGGGACAAGGCTGGACTTTTTTACTTCTTCTAAAAGTAAACAAATAAACAGTAAGGTCATTTAAAGGTCAAGGTAATACCTAAATTATTCAACATGTCTGTTTGGTCACTCCTGTTGTTTTGTCCAAGTATGAAAATAATCAATTGATTAAGGCGACAACCGACACTTTCCGTGGTACAACCATAAATGTCATTTAAACCAATTTATTTCAGTATTAACTGTTATTTATTTAAATTTTGTGCATTAAATGTCTTTGATCTTCATAAAAAATATCATACCTTTGTAAATTATTGATTTTGATAAAAAATTCTATAATTTTAAATTGTCATATCAAAGTCATTTTTTACTTTTTTTGTCATCAAACTCTTGGAAATTATAAACATAATTATAATATCTGTGATACATTGTTTCAGATTTTTCCTATCTTTTCTCAAAAAATATTACGTAACGGCAAACAATTTATGCCACTTTTTTTACCATACATATTACGTAATTAAAGATAATTAAGTTGCTGATTGAGCAAAAACAAAAATCCCTGACACGGTTCCCTCCGTAATTGAATTCCCTTTCATGTGCTTTAAACCGCATGTAAATTGCTTGTTTATTAAAAAAGTTATGCTGATTCAAAGTTAGTCCGACGCGCATCAAACGAAGTGTCATAAATCGGCTGTTCTCTCTCAGACCCCTATGTTTTCCGTTAAATTATTGTATAACACGCAAATACCACACCAAAGGGGGTGACACGATGCGGTAACACATACTCTAACAACTTTTATGACCCAGTGACATCTGACCAATTAAAAAGCAGCTGATAAATATCATTTTATAGCAGAATTTCTTCAAATCTTAACGTGATTTACTGTCCGTCTTGTATCTGTCGCACATGTCATGTGACTATCAGTAAAATTTGAGGCACTCAGTGGGATAAAATGGAACGCATTCAACGTTCGTACTGCTATCGTGTAATCATATTCACTTTTGATGTTATTATTATTATCTAGCATCATCATTATTATTATAATATTATATCAGTGTCACTCTGCCTGTGTATTCGTGTATGAAATTCCGTTAAAATATAAATTAAAATAACGAAAAACTGTGCTCCTGCCAGACTTTTAAAGTCCGTGCATGGTACATTGTACAAATAAGAACGAGATATTATATATTTTTGTCCGATCAGTTCATATAAATGCTTGACATAATTTAATAGAAATAAAAGGTATTTCTCGATCAATATGATCTGACGTTCTTGACTTTTATTATTCCGAATTTTATCTATGCACGGCATACATAGATTCAGTTTCTTCTGGGACATACAATAAATTGTGTTCGATTTACTAGTGAACAATATATTCAAACCGTTCACTGAAAATATATTTTCATACCTTTTTCATTGATTCATAAAGAATTAATCATCCGAAGACTATCATAAAAATATTGTAGAAATTTGTAAGGGACACCTGACCACCTGTCATATATAGGCGTTCACATAAAAGTGTTGTCTGTTTCTTTTAAAATAAACAGACAATCCACACAAACAAGAACATTCAGTAATTAATTTTTATTTCATACGTTTCGGCTATATGCCTTCATCAATGCAAAACATAACAAGATATGTTTGTAAAACATGTATGCCCCCTATGGGCAGCCAATTAGTCATGTGATCAGGTTATTATGCATGACCCAGTGAACAAAAAATTAATAAGGGTTTTCTACTGGTCATATAAAGTTTGAAGTTCCTAGGCCTAAGCGTTCTTTAGTTATTGATTGGAAACCATTTTAACTTACAAGGTCAATGTGACCTTGACCTTTGACCCCAAAATCAATAGGGGTCATCTATTGGTAATGACCAATCATCATATAAAGTTTGAAGTTCCTAGACCTAAGCGTTCTTTAGTTATTGATCGGAAACCGTTTTTACTTACAAGGTCAATGTGACCTTGACCTTTGACCAAAAAATCAATACATCAAAAGGGGTCATCTACTGGTCATGACCGATCACCATACCAAGTTTGATGTTTCTAGGCCATAAGCGTTCTTAAGTTATTGATCGGTAACAGTTTTTACCTTCATGGTCAATATGACCTTATCTTTCACCCCTTGACCCCCAAATCAATAGGGGTCATCTACTGGTCATGACCAATCACCATACCAAGTTTAAAGTTCCTAAGAAACCGTTTTTACCTACAAGGTCAATGTGACCTTGACCTTTGACCCCTTGACCCCAAAATCAGTAGGGGTCATCTACTGGTCATGGCAAATCATCATACCAAGTTTGAAGTTCCTAGGCCTAAGCGTTCTTTAGTTATTGATCCGAAACCGTTTTTACTTACAAATTCAATGTGACCTTGACCTTTGACCCTTGACCCCAAAATCAATAGGGGTCATCTACTGGTCATGACCAATCACCATACCAATTTTGAAGTTCCTAGACCTAAGGGTTCTTTAGTTATCACTCGGAAACCATTTGGTCTACAGACCGACAGACAGACAAATGCAAAGCAATATACCCCCTCTTCTTTGAAGTGGGGGCATAATAAAATTACCAGAAGCGACGTCATAAAGGAACACGCGTTAAACGCACGAAAAACGTTATTAGTTTAGCTGCAAAAATATGACAACATGTAGGAACAAATAGTTATGTAATAAATAAAGCTGGTACATGAATTAAAATGGCTCAATAGTGACAGTGTTAATAAAAATAAGATAATAGACAAACATATTAATATTCATGTAACACATTATAAATCAAACAATACTTTATTATTTAGTCCATTTGGAATCACAGTATTTAATTTATGGATCCAAAAAGGTTCTTTACATAACCGGCCCATCTATAATTTCTATAGGTAAAAATGAAAAAATCTGACAATGAACACTTATTTTTCTTTTTTTTGTTATTTTGTTGACATTGTTAGAAAAAAAGAGGTTGCATGAGCTCTTTAATCCGTACTTAAATTCATAAACTCAATATAATGTCTTATCAGATTACTTACGTGATAAATAAATTTCACAGATAATGGATAAAGGCAGCTACATTGTTTTAGTTATCCCCATGGTCGTGCGATTTTCCGCTATGCTAAATTATTTGTTACATCTTGGCCAACAATTTCTTAATTTATAAAATGGTTACTTAAATGATAGATGATACAATGTTGAAATGTTCATAAAAGATGTACAGTATTTTTATGATACATGTATTACAAGCAGTATCGACTAATAACAAATGAACCGGTAATTCATGGATATATGGAGCTACCGATTACCCTCATTGATGCCTCAATAGGGGGCGGCGCGTTATAGATAATGAGACAGGTTACGCGCATAGCGGATAAAAATGGTATAGGTATCGTTAAAAAACGTTTAAAAACATAGTTTCTGGACTAACTGCTTCCAAAATTAAATCACGAATGTATTCAGAAAAGGTTAACAAATCTACTTAGCAAAAAATCTCATTTTAGGTATTTTTAGTGATAATTGACTCCGTTGTCACCTTAATTACTAAGTTACAGCCAACTGTATTGATAATCAGTGAATAATAAATAATTTGACCTTCAATGTCACTAAGATAATGAACGGAAACTGATGATGACGGAATGACGGAACAGGGGGGCATAACAAGAGGGCCATGATGGCCCTATATCGCTCACCTTAAGGAATTGATCTTATAAAGTATTTTTCTTTTACAGGTTTATAAAATTCTTTAATGTCATTTAAAGGTTAGTGTGTAATGTACTGTATTTTTGGCCGACAGCAACAGGAATGCAAACAAGTGTATAGAAATACCTCTTTTCTCTTTTCTTTAAAGTACAGGTTGCTAAAAAATACACTCCCTGTGGCGTGTTTACATCATGAAAATTTTAACAATGACATCATAATTAACAAGACGAAGTACAAATTTGGATAATACTTCAATAAAAATGGGTCAAAGACAAAAATGGCCGGGTTGCATTTGTATACCAAATAACATGACTCATGAGGCTGTGATGTTACAAAAATTTCCTACCATTGACCATTCATATCGAACATTTAACTAAGTCGGTTAACAGGAAGAGGATAAGCGATAGACCTGAACTTTGCAGTCACAATACCAAATTTCAAGAGGCTGTGATATGTAGTTGCTAAGAAAACTGTTACGGAAATTTCCTTCCATTTACAATTAATGCCGAAAATTTCACTAGGTCAGAAAACTGAAAGTGGATGAGCCACATACCTGAAATCACCAAACATCAAGAGGCTGTAATAAGTAGTTGCTGAGAAAATTGTTACGAAAAATTCCTACCATTGACCATTATTATGAATTAAACTAATGAGAAAATTGTTACGAAAAATTTGTACCATTGACCATTATTATGAATTTAATTTTATTTATTAATTTATGATTCCTATCATATTTTATTTTCAACTGCGTCGTATCATTTCGTAACAATCATTATTTTCTTGGAAAATAAACATCTCTTTTTCATGAAAATTTAGTAAATGATGCAAAATTATGTTTTGAAGTTTATGGTGAACTCTGAAAACGAGTATATAATTGATTTGAAGGAGAAACGATAGATAAAGCAATATGAACTGCGTCGTATCCACACAAATTCATAAAAATTCTGCCCCACTTCGAGTTGCAAGTTCGCTATAACTTTTGTTTTACAAAATAGTTGTCTAAGAAACACATACCGAACGAAGCGGAAAATAGTGTAGCGTGTTAATACATATATCTCGTTTTCAGTCATTTCCGATAAAAAGAGTTCTTAACAAAAACATACATTTTTCGTTCCAAGATGGCGGCGTTTGTTTACATTTTGTAGGATACGACGCAGTTTTGATTCCCAGCCCTGATTACTAGCACCATGGATAATTACCATAATTATTTTTTCATTTTCATGAACATTTATTGAGGTCAATAACACATGTGTACATGTATAATTTTATAAATCATAACACGGGACGTCGGGAGGTGATATTTACATAAATACAGAATGTACTTCCGGTTTAGTGTAATTTATAATCTCAACTCGAGGTCAGATTGATACAGATGTTTTCTGAGGCAATTTTTTTTATAGACTGACTGGTATGCAATATTTAATGATTAGAATCGTATGTTTGTTCTCAGAATGAAATATTATGACATAATTCGTTCATCAGTAGGTGCGGTGTAGCTATATGATTTTTCCCGCAAACCGGAAGGATACAAAAAAGTAATATCCGTACTGTAAATTAAACTTTTATCTTAATCAACTAATTTTTGTGGAAAAAAACAACATTTTTTGTTCACTTTCGTTTCTTTGTGCAATTTCATACACAATAAAATGTGCAAGTCATTGTCAAGAACCGAAATATTTTACATTGTATTTCGGAAATGACACAGTCTTCCTTTCTGATGATGTTACGAAATTAATGGAAGAATCCAATATTGAATGGGGAAATCAACTTCACTGTAGCTCTCAAATTTGTGCTATTCTGAGCGACTCTGTTTTGAATTAACATTCACATTCAACAAACTTTTCATCCTTATGCTTTAAAAGAAAAATCTTCATAACAATGTCTGTTGAGACAAAAAATACAAGATACACTGTCTCAATTTATCCCTACAAAGAAAGTCTATATAACCTTGCAATAAAAAACCCTTTAAATCCCGAAATAAAGGCCAATTTTCAACTTAAGACCATAATTTGAATATACTTTGTAGGAACTTACAAGCTAATGCCTTGTGAGAAAATATCTAAGCTCTAACCCTTTCCATTTTGAAGTATAAGAACTTTTAAGTTTTTTCTTTTAGTTGCCATAGCAACCAGAGTTTAGCATGGAATGGCATTCTTTGAACAATCTTGATAGAGCTTCATACAATGAGTATTCCTGCCAAGTTTCATTAATATTGGCCTAGTGGTATTGTAGAAGATGTCGTTTGAATAAAATGTGGCCGGACGCCGGACGCCATTTGGTTGGCCATCCTAAAAGCTCACCCGCACTTTGTGCAAGGTGAGCTAAAAACACAAGAGAATTTCATTAATTTTACCTTGACAGTAAATAAACAATATGTTTGTTTGGTAGCAAGTCTTGTTTTGTCCAAGTTCAAATCAAATCAGGACATAAAAACAATTTAATCAAAATTCAATAATTTAAATCCGGTGAGCTAAAAATAATATATATACCTCTGTATAATCTGTAACAAAGAATGATGTTGTTCCTTCAGTTCTAGTAAAATGCCCGGGGAATAAGTTCACCCATGTGTCATCTCCATAAAATACAACTTTTCTACCAGAATTATAAGCTTGAGAGATCAGATTGTCTTCTGTAAGAGCCTTAGAATCAAAGTTCAACACAACATCTACAAAACCTGGAATTGTCCCGGATGTAAGCGCCTGCAATAAAACAGATATATCTAAACTTGCAGATGTTGCAGTTTACATTGTTATGAACTAAATCAGAATCAAAGATTTTAATTGTTCGACAACTGTTTCTCTGGCAGGCGCATCATCATTGCAATAAAGCTGCAATAAATTCAGACTTCAAGATTGAACTTGAAATAACTAAGAAAAAATGAAAGTTGAAGCATTGTTTATACTAGAAGTTGATATCAGAACAATTATCTAATTTAGATATACATCCAAAGTGCCATCTATACCATGAATTTAATTCAATTCATGGTTTTATCAAAACAGACATTTTCGTGGGTTTTTAAATTCATGTATTTTCATTATCTTGTAAAAAGAAAAAAATTACAACATGGCAATGTCATAAAACCAGGTTTTCAATTATCACCATTGTAGATATAAAGCTGGTCTGTGAAAGTTTGAACAAAATCCCTTGAGAAATGTAGATGGAGTTGCACAACAGAAGAAATTGTTCACTACATACTCTATATAAGGAAAAAAACAAAGGGCCATTAGGTCAAAAATTATCCAATCACAAAACCCCAACAATATGCATCAGGGCACTTGAGAAAGTTTGAACAAAATTCCTTGAGAAATGTAGGAGGAGTTGCGCACAGAAGAAATTGTTTACTATATATTCTGTACAAAGAAAAAAAAACAAAGGGCCATAATTAGGTCAAAAATTATCCAATCAAAAAACCCCAACAATATGCATCCGGACACTTGATGACAAAGCTTCTGTGAAAGTTTGAACAAAATCCTTTGAGAAATGTAGGAGAAGTTGTGCACAGAAGAAATTGTTCACTATATAAGGAAAAAAAACAAAGGACCATAATTAGGTCAAATATTATCCAATCGCAAAACCCCGACAATATGCACAAGGGCACTTGATGACAAAGCTTCTGTGGAAATTTGGTCAAAATCTGTTCAGAAATGTAGGAGTTGCACACAGAAGAAATTGTTCACTATATATTCTATGTTAGGAAACAAGAGGGCCATGATGGCCCTGAAGTCGCTCACCTGTATATAGGCCCCACGGAGCGGGGCCAGTTTAAACCAAAGGGCTTTTATTTGAACAAACTTGGTAGACACCCATTAGAAGATGTTTCATGCTAAACATCTAAGGGTTTTTTAAAAGAAGATTTTTTAAGTTTTTTCTTTACACATATATTTAAAAACAATGACACCCCTGGGGCAGGGCCAGTTTTCACCCCAGGGCTTTTATTTGAACAATCTTTGTAGACACTTACTAGAAGATGTTTCATGCTTAATATCTAAACTCTAGCTATTCTGGTTTTTCGAAGAAGATTTTTAAGTTTTTGCTATACACATATAAGGAAAATCAATGTCCCCCGGGGCGGGGCCAATTTTGACCCCAGGGCTCTTATTTGAACAAACTTGGTAGACATCAATTAGAACATGTTTCATGTTAAATATCTTAGCTCTAGCTCTTTGGGTTCTTTAAAAGAAGATTTTTAAGTTTTTACTATATTCATTTAGGGAAAATCAATGACCCCCTGGGGCGGGGCCAATTTTGACCCCAGGGCTCTTATTTGAACAAACTTGGTAGACATCCATTAGAACATGTTTCATGCTAAATATCTAAGCTCTAGCTCTTTGGGTTCTTTAAAAGAAGATTTTTAAGTTTTTACTATATTCATATAGGGAAAATCAATGACCCCCTGGGGCAGGGCCAATTTTGACCCCAGGGCTCTTATTTGAACAAACTTGGTAGACATCCATTAGAACATGTTTCATATTAAATATCTTAGCTCTATCTCTTTGGGTTCTTTAAAAGAAGATTTTTAAGTTTTTCCTATATTCATATAGAGAAAATCAATGACCCCCTGTGGCGGGGCCGATTTTGACCCCAGGGCTCTTATTTGAACAAACTTGGTAGACATCCATTAGAACATGTTTCATGCTAAATATCTTAGCTCTAGCTCTTTAGGTTCTTTAAAAGAAGATTTTTTAAGTTTTTACTATATTCATATAGGGAAAATCAATGACCCCCTGGGGCGGGGCCAATTTTGACCCCAGGGCTCTTATTTGAACAAACTTGGTAGACATCCATTAGAACATGTTTCATGCTAAATATCTTAGCTCTAGCTCTTTGGGTTCTTTAAAAGAAGATTTTTTAAGTTTTTACTATATTCATATAGGGAAAATCAATGACCCCCTGGGGCGGAGCCAATTTTGACCCCAGGGCTCTTATTTGAACAAACTTGGCAGACACTCATTAGAACATATTTCATGCTAAATATATCTTAGCTCTAGCTCTTTGGGTTCTTTAAAAGAAGATTTTTAAGTTTTTACTATATGCATATAGGAAAAATCAATGACCCCCTGGGGCGGGGCCAATTTTGACCCCATGGCTTTTATTTGAACAAACTTGGTAGACAACCATTAGAAGATGTTTCATGCTAAATATTTTAGCTCTAGCTCTTTGGGTTCTTTAAAAGAAGATTTTTTTAATTTTTTACTATATACATATAGGGAAAAATCAATGACCCCATGGGGCAGGGCCAATTTTGACCCCAGGGCTTTTATTTGAACAAACTTGGTAGACACTTGCTAGAAGATGTTTCATACCAAATATCTAAGTTCTAGCTGTTAGGGTTTTTTAAAAGAAGATATTTAAAGTTTTTTCTTTCGGTTGCCATGGCAACCAGAGTTCTGCATTGAATTAAATTCTTTGAACAATTTTTAAAGGTGACCACCAAAGGATCATTCCTGTGAAGTTTGGATGAAATTGGCTTAGTGGTTTATGAGGAGATGTCATTTAAAGTAAAAGTTTACGGACGGACGGACGCCGAAAGAAAAGCGATCACAAAAGCTCACCCTGTCACTTTGTGACAGGTGAGCTAAAAATACAAGGGGCCATAATTAGGTCAAATATTATCCAATCACAAAACCCCGACAATATACGCCAGGGCACTTGATGACAAAGCTTCTGTAAAAGTTTGGTCAAAATCCGTTGAGTAATGTAGGAGAAGTTGCGCACAGAAGAAATTGCTTACGCCGGCCAGCCCATCCGCCTGCAGACATACCTCAATCTAATAACCAGTTTTTTTCCTTCAGAAAACCTGGTTTAAAATAATCTATCGCAAAGAAATTTCACAGCAGACGATATCAATGAAACAATACGGACATATATGCAGTCAGAGTGACCTGTAATACAGGTAAAGACGTCTCATTCTTATATTCTGGTGAGAATTTCATTAATTTGACCTTAACATTCCAGGTCAATTAAAAGTCAAGGTCACATCTTAATTATTCAGTATGTTGGTTAAGTAGCAAGTCTTGTTTTGTCCAAGTATAAATCGAATCCGTACATAAATAACACTAGAACCCAGCTAGTCAGATGTGTCGCCTTGTGAACAGTATAGCTGTCACTTAGACATTTTCTTCTTAAATATAGGTTATTTATAAACACCGCTCTCATAATGTACATGTACCTTGAATTTTAGTGGCATTTGAACTGATTGTAACAATGTTACATCAGGATTAACAAAAACAATTATCATAGTATTGCAAGAAATCCATAAGTCCCCTACTGGTTAGAACCGCATAAACATTCTGGAGGTCATTGAATTATGTCATTGAATGAATGACAAGAATAAACTTAAATCTTTTAAGTTCTTAGTTTGCCTGTATCTAAGTAATATGTTACATTTCCCTAATAAAGTTTATAGAACAGATAATCAAAAGACCCAATTTTCTCAGGATTAATATGTATTACTGATGTTTCAACTTTTCTCTATTTTAAGTAAATGTGTTGGAAAAGTTCCAATGTCATTAAAAGTGATCTCAGGAAACAGTTTTTAGAAACGGCCAGACAGACCAACTGACAGAGACTCTGGCCCCGTGTTCACAAAGATTTAAGGATCAGGATCAAGATCAGGATCAAATTTAAAAACCCTGATATTCTTCATTGTTTATCCTCATAGATAAATATCTGGTTATAAATTTGATAAAACTGGACTTGAAATAGCAAGTATATGAAATTTTAGAATAAATTAATTGTTAATTTTGCAAGATATGGGCATTTTACAGTTGATCCAAATATTGATCCTGATCCTAAAATTGATCCTTATTTTGATCCAAATATTTTTGTATTTGTTTTGTTATTTGTTGATTTTATCCCAAAATAGTTTTTTTTTTCGTTGCGGATCAGTATATTTTTACATTTTGAATATTTCAACAAAACACAATTTAATTCAACAAAACACAAATACTTTTAGTAACATTAAACAATGAAAATAAAATCAGGATCACTTGATCCTGATCCTGATCTTTTCTTAGTGAACACGGGGCCTGAGGATAAATCTTAAAACATTCCTGGTTGTTACCAGAATATAACATTTTTAAAAGCAAAATCCTTAAACTAAGAGGAGATAACTCTTGAAATAAAGATGCTAGACTTATGAACATTGTCATACAAGTGTAACAAAGAACAATTATCTCAAGTTTAAAGAAGATACCATTTATAGTCACAAAAAAGAAAAGTAAAAAAAAAATTAAAACAAGAAATGTCGAATGACCCATATGCCCCTCTTTCTAGCCCTTGACTCACATTATTGGTTCTTTTGCTATAGAAACATGCCATAAATAGGTACATGGAAGTGTTCAATTATGGAAACAAGATTGCATTTGTGAAAAATGCTATGCCATCACATTAATACAACACTAAATAGTAGTGTAGGAACAGATTTTTTTTGTTTCTATACAATTGAAGATTGTCATAATGCATAGATCCCTGACCTATCTAATTCTTATTATCAGATTAGTGGTTAAATCTATTGTTAATCCAATAAAAGATCAGAGTAGGAATATATCAATGCATTTGAGTCTAGTGAATTTGGTGGTGAAGGTCAAATTTCACACAGCCTAAATTTCATGACTACATCAAAGGACAACACAGTAAGACACTTTGTCAAAATCTAAGTCAGCTGATATCAAACTTCACTTTACATCTGAATCTGTGC